AACATATCCAAAGTATGTGAGATGAAGCTTCACCACCCTTTCCTCTGGAAACACTCTGGTTGAACTTTCTCCAAGAATATCTGTTCTTTTGATAGTCCCTGGGATATTCAGTATTCTTCTCCAACACCATCCTCAAAGGCATTGATTCTTCTTCTGTCATCCTGATTCACTGACCAGTTCTCAGAAGTACAGCAGGTGATCAGAAAGAACATGGTTTGAATAAGGCATAGGTCTTTAAACTGAGAAGTATATAAATCCATGTGCTCAGAAACAAGCCTTGTGCTCAGTGATGCAAGAAGGAAAGAGAATCAAGGTTTGAGGCCCATTTCTCTGGCCGGGATTATACTCTGCATAATCTACTCATCTTCACGTTGGTCACACTAATGAGCTTCTAGGGAGGGTCTTGGACATGTTAGGTAGTAAGGGCCATTCCCATGTGGAATTGGCGTGAAGATTAAAAGAAGAAACATTTATAGGCTTTCAACAAACTGTAATTTCCTTTAGGCAGATATTACCTGAAATTTTCGATGATATTAGGAAATACATGTCTTTCATACCTAATATTTAGTAGCAATTTCTCTCAGTGGCCTTGTTATTCCTTGTATCTAGGTGTATTTTGGGATGCCAGCCTCAACTCTAAAGGAATGGCCCCTCACTCAACCTACCAAGAGTGGGCCGAGGAGGCTGGTGGCACGTGTAGATGGTTCTGGAGAAGACACATGCTCTGAAGGGAAAATACTTGAGTTGGAAAGTCATTTGTGACCTGGTATAAAAGGTGAGCCAAGCCCGTGAGACTCTTGTCTGGGAATCTGGAAAGTAAGAAACTGGGTCAGCTGGTAGCACAGACATCTGGAATGTGATTTGCCACATTAATGGTGGACCACCTTCATGGGAGCTGACGTATGCTGCCCCGAGGCCCTCCAGGGCTGTTTCAAGTCCAAAACCCTGCCCCACAAAGGCTGGCTGTTCAGAGGTTTTACTCATGAAAATCATAAACATCTCTTACAATTTTATTAAAAGAAATAAAATTTTAAGAACATTTTGAATTTGTTTCTGTTTTCTCCAACCAACAAGTCTTTACTAACACAGTAATTACCATGGGGATGAACTTTCAGCTGGAGCTACAGATGTTCTGGGCAGTTCTACTACAAGGCATTGCTGTAACAGTTAATTACAGCTCATGGCAGATGCCATTGACTCCTACCGCATTCCTCTATAGAACTCTTCTACCAATGCTGTTGCTGCTGTTAACTGTGCTGTCAAGTTGCCTGTGACCCATAGCAACCCTATGTATAGCAGTCTGAGCCCTGCCCCATCCTGAGCCAGTTTCATTGATTCTGACACACCAGCCCCCATTGCCCCAGTTACTGTGTCACTCTATCTCACCCAGGGCCTTCCTCTCCTGTGCTGTCCCTCCACCCTTCTGAGCATGGTGTCCTTCTCCAAGAACAGGTCCCTCCTGGCCACATGCTCAAAGTATATGAGATGGAGCTTCAAAATCTTAGCCTTCAAGGAGAAATCTGGTTTCACCCTCTCCAAGACAGATCTATTTGCTTTCTTGGCAGTCTACGGTATGTTCAAGACTCTTCTCCAGCACCACAACTTGAAGGCATCAATTCTTCTTCTGTCATCCTTGGTCATTGTCCAGCTCACTGATGCATAGCAAGTAACTTTGAAAACCATGGCCTGCATTAGGTGCACCTTAGTCTCTATACTGATATCATTGAATTTCAGTACTCTGGAGAGGTCCCTGACAGCAGATTTCCCCAATGCAATTAGTCTTTTGATGTCCTAATTGCTAGTGCCAAGAGGAAGCTCTGGTGGCCAAGTGGCATTTAAGTGGCGCTACAAGCCAAAGGCATGCATTGGAGGCCACCAGCTGCTCCGAGGGAGAAGGATGGACAATCTCTCATGCAGTTAAATGCCTCTGAAAACCCACCGGAAGGTCAGCTATGGGTCGGTTCCGACTTGATGGTACACAACAACAGTGCCAAGAGTATTGATTGTGGAGCTGAGCAAGCTGAAATTGTTAACAACCTCAATCTCTTCTCCAGCTATCATGGTCCTGCCAATTGGTCTAGTGGTGAGAATCTTTGTCTTGATGTTAAGCTTCAATCCATATTGAAGACTACAGTCCCTGACCTTCTGCAGCAAACACTTCAGGTCCTCCTCAGTGTCAGCAAGCAAGGTTGTGTCATCTGCATAACACAGGTTGTTCAAGAGTCTTCCTCCAATCCTGATGCCACATTCCTCCACATGAAGCCCAGCTTCCGAATGGTCTGTTTTGTATATAGTTGAAAAGGTGTGGAGATAGACTACATCCCTGAAGGAATCCTTTCCTGATTTTGAATCGTACAGTGTTTCCTTACTCTGTTTGGAGGACTGTTTCCTGGTCCAAGTACAGGTTTCATATAAGCACTATCAAGAGTTCTGGGATTCCCATTATCATCAAAGTTAGCCACAATTTGTTGTGATCCACACATCAAACGCCTTTGCATAGTCAATGAAACACAGATAAACATTGCTTTGGTACTCTATGCTTTCTGCCAAGCTCCATCTGACATTGGCGATAATGTCTCTAGTGACATGACCTCTTCCAAACCCAGCTTGTATTTCTGGTAGTTCTCTGTCAATGTACTATTCCTGCCATTTCTGGATAATGTTCAGCAGGATTTTGCTATTGTGTGATCTTGTTTGATAACTTCCACACTCTGTTGGATGATCACCTTTTACTATAGAAACAGAAAATCTGAAGTGTGTACTCTTTCTTTCTCTCCTCCTCTCCCTGAGGCTAGAAGATGCTATACCACAGTTCTGGCCTGTGAGATACAAGTATCTACTGGGACAAAGAGACTAGTTTTACCTCCTTCTTCCTACCTTGAATAACAATGTTATACTTAGGAGTGCTACTATCCTCTTTTAACCAAAAAGGAAAATGCAGAGACATAAAGAGATACAGACACCCTGTACATTTGAGGTGCTAAATTAACATTTTAAAAACTTTCAAAACAACAACTAACCCATTACCACTGAGTCAGTTCTGACTCATGGCAACTCTCCATTGGGTTTCCAAGGCTATGACTCTTAACAGGAAGAGACAGCTTGCCTTTCTCCCTTGGAACTGGGCTGCTGATTGGAATGTTTCCTTTTGGTTAGCCCAATACATTACATACTGCGCCACCAAAGGGCTCAGCCCTTTGTTGCAGGAGTGAAATATTCCCTTAAACTGCCAATAGATTTTCTTATTACTTACAAGTAAACTTGTGTCTAAATGATAAACTGTAGGTGTTGCTATTGTGTACTAGAGAGTCAGAAATGACTCATAGTTGACCCTCCAGCACGTTTTCAGAGGGTATAAATCACATGGGAGTTGAGCGCCCATCTTTCTGCTATAGAACAACTGGTAGATTTGAACTTCATACCTTTGTGTTGGCAGCACAATTTCTTACCACTAGCCACCAGAGCTCCCTGAAAAGGATCAGAGAAAAAGAAAAGACCTTCAACAAGATAGAGCCAGTGACTACCACAGGAAATAATGGAGTAAAGATTAAGGGGATGGCTCAGGATATGGCAAGGTTCAGATCTGCTGTTCACAGGGTCATTATGAGTTGTGGTTGACTCAATACCTCACAAGGCACCTAGAACTCGATATTAGGTTTTTGTTTTGTTTTGTTTTGTTTTTTTATTGTGAGAGACACAGCATCTTTCCCTCCTATCTATTATATGACAAATTTGCTTTGAAAGAAATTTTTCTAAAAATTGAGCAGTATAAGCTTTCCAGGCAATTAAAATCTAACAAAAGGATAAGACATATCTATGAATAACTGTTATATAAGGCATTTGGATCCACAATCAATTCCTATGGATGTAGGAGATAAGAAATCAAACAATGAAACAGCCAAACAATGACACTAGGGAAATCTGCCGGAGATGATCTCTTTAAAGTATTTAAAGCAAAGATGTCACTTTAAGAACTAAGGTGTACTTGATCCAAGCCACTGAATTTTCAATTGCTTAATATGCATGTGAAAGTGAGGCAATAAATACAGAAGACTGGAAAATTATGCCTTTGAATTATGGTGTTGATGAAGAATATTGGATATAACATGGACTGCCAGAATAGTGAACAAATCTGTCTTGGATTTGTACAGCCAGAATGCTCCTTAGGAACAAGGATGGTGAGGTAATGTCTCACATACTTTGGGCACGTTATTCGTAGGGACAAGATCCTGGAGAAGAACACTATGCTTTGTAAAGTAGAGGGTTGGGAAAAAAGAGGAAGACCTTCAACAAGAAGCACTGGCATGGGGCTTGCTCCATATGATTAAAGATAGCCACATCTAAAAGTATGGCAAAGTACCAGGGAGTGTTTTGCTCTGTCATATACAGTGTCCCTGTGAGCAGGAGTTGATTCTATGGCATCTAACATCACAAAAAGGAAGAAAAGGGAAAGATTTCCGGTTGAAGTAGAAGTCCACACACGAGAAACATTTAAGATAAACAGAAAGAAAAAAAAAGAGGAATTTTGTTTTTTTGGAGATGGAGAAAGAGTATGTTTTGGGTAGAAGGAGTAGTTTGAACAAATGTAGAAAACAATCAAATATGGCAAACTGCAAGCTCATTCAGTCTGGCATAGGAGAACACGGGTCAGATTGGAAAATCAGATCAAATTATAAAAGCCATGAATGCTAGGTAAGGATACTGGTTTCTACTCTCCAGGCTACTGGCCATTGCTGAAGGTTTTTGAGCAGGCGGTAATCAGGACGGCAATGTGAGAATGCAGAGAAAGCTAAGTAGGTGTCTGGACTGAAGATGATGAGGGTATGAACGCATATAGTCAAAGTGGGAGTAGAAAGGAAAGCAGCAGCAGACACGAGAGTCACTGCAGAAGGACATGTAGCACAACTTAGCTGCTGTCCACACATGAAGGGTGCATCATGGGGAGAAGTAACAGAGGAGGCTTGATTGTATAAAATACAAACAAAATCATCAGGTGGTACCTCTGGAGCTGAAGACAGGAATGGTTTTATGTAGATGTTGGAGTCATGCACCTTCAGGTCATGGTCCCCAAGTCCCCTGGTCACTCCAATAGTTGCCATAACTCGGGCCTACGAGATAAGCAAAAGGTCAGAAATAGTCATGTACACTGAGAAAAAAAAATTTGTCAGAATATAGCAGCTAAGAGCTAATTTCCCAATTTCTACTAGTAATCTTTCCAAGTCCCTTGCTGCTAATTTATTAGGTAATTGTTATCAAGGACGAACTCACGGGCATCACTTAAGTATTTGAGGAGTGATTAAAGGAGTACTTTTTCTACCAATTATCTCATGCTTTCTGGCTTTCAGCTGTTTCTTTTCAGCTTTCTTTTCAGAGAGTGGATCAGGAAAGGTGTCCAACAAACTAAAGCTAATACATGAGTCATGTCTATAGCTCTTGAGTGCAGTTCAAATCAAATCCAAAAGCATCCTTCTATCCATCTACCTCCCAGCCCAATCCATCCATCCATCCATCCATCCATCCATCCATCCATCCATCCATCCATCCATCCATGTTAATTCTACAAGTATTTATCAAACTCTAGCAATGTACCTAGGTAGGTGACAGGCACTAGTAAAAGACACCACACACAGCTCTTGTCCTCACAAAATTCACCTGATAAAAATTTATGGCTGGAGAATATCAACCATTATCTGCACTGTAACCTATCCTGCGAAGATCCCCATAAATTCTCTCTGAGTGGAATGGGTCAAAACTCCGCAACCACTGTGAGCTACACAGAGTCTTCAGGGTCGAGATGCCACCATCTACACACTTTTCTAAACTGCTTCCCAATTCTTTCAAGGATGTAATACTACCTATATTAATATTTACATAATGAGGCTGATTATCTCCGGAGGGTTTGAGTTCGAGCATAGGGTTGTTTAATTTGATGAGATAATTTAACTGAATATCTAAAATGCATCTATTATGAGTAGACAACATGGTGTGGGGGACACAAATATATTAGGTTTTGTCCAGAGGTACATATGTAACTCATATAAAATGTGGTCAAGTGCTGAAAATACAAAGGGTCATTGTGAGTTCAAGTTCAGAGGTTGTTGTTTGTTGTTATTATGTGCCGTCGAGTCGCCTGCGACTCATAGCGACCCTATGTACAACAGCCCTAAACTCCGCTCTGTCCTGTGCCAATCGCACTGTCTCTGATACTCCCATCCCAATTATCCCAGTCACTGAATCAATCCACCTCATAGAGGGCCTTCCTCTCCTGCGCCGTCCCTCTACCCTCCCAAGCATGATGTCTCTCTCCAAGGACCGGTCTCTCCTCACTACATGTCCGAAGTAAGTTAGACGGAGCCTCAGAATCCTTGCCTCCAAGGAGCCACCCGGTTTAACCCTCTCCAGGACAAATCTATTTGTTTTCCTAGCAGTCCATGGTATTCTCAGTACTCTTCTCCAGCACCACAGCTCAAAGGCATCAGTTCTCCTTCTATCCTCCTTGGTCATTGTCCAACTCTCTGATGCATAACAGGTGATTGCAAAGACTATGGCCTGTATCAGACGCACCTTAGTCTCCAGAGAGACACCACTGCTCTTCAGCACTTTGGAGAGGTCCCTAACAGCAGACTTTCCCATGGCAATGCGCCTTTTAATTTCCTGGTTGCTGGTGCCAAGACTGTTGACTATGGAGCCAAGCAAACTAAAGCTGTGTACAATCTCAATCTCTTCACCATCCATCCTGATGCTGCTGATTGGTCCAGTGGTGAGAATCTTTGTCTTCTTGACATTGAGCCTCAATCCATATTGTAGGCTACAGTCCTTGACACTCTGCAGCAGGTGCTTCAGGTCCTCCTCAGTTTCAGCAAGCAGGGTTGTGTCATCCGCATAACGCAGACTGTTGATAAATCGTCCACCAATCCTGACCCCACATTTCTCCTCATAGAGCCCAGCCTCCCAGATAATCTGTTCTGCATATAGGTTGAAGAGGTATGGAGATAGGATGCATCCCTGGCGTACGCCCTTCCCAATACTGAACCATGCAGTGTTCCCTTGCTCTGTTCTGACGACTGCCTCCTGGTCCAAGTATAAGTTTCGCATTAGAACGATCAAGTGTTCTGGGATTCCCATTCTTCTCAGAGTCAGCCACAGTTTGTTATGATCTACACAGTCAAATGCCTTTGCATAGTCAATGAAGCACAGATATACATTCCAATGGTATTCCCTGCTTTCAGCCAAGTTCAGAGGAGATTAAAAATTATATTGAGAAGGCTTCTTAGAGAATATGGCATTAACTTGTGTGCCAAAGAATGGACATAACAAGTCAGGTATGCACAGAGGGCCTGGGAGAATATTATTCTGTGTGGAATGAGGCCCAATGGCCTAACCCTTGGGTCACCAATCATTTCTTCAATGTAGAGCCATGGTTCAAGTCCCCCAAGTTCAAGTTGAATCCACTGTTTATCTACTACTTAGGCACAAAGGTAGCCAAGAGCTGTGTGACGAGTGCCTGATAGGGCTGAGGATGAAATAAATGATGCTAAGAAACATTATCTAACAATTTTTAACATCTTCATCCCATTTCCCCCAAAAGGCTGTGATGTTTGGAACTGCTTTCCGATGAGAAGAGTTCATAGAAAAGGGTAAATTAAAACCATGATACATTTTTTAAAGGCACGAGTCAAAGGAGATTGGTAATATGAGGTCACGTGATGTGAAGTCTGGGAGGTGTCAGTTCAGGCAGGCTGCACAGAAATCTTCTGCTTGGTGGAAGGCTGGGTGGGCTGCTTCTGACTAAACGAGCAAGGTCAACTATAAATGGAAAAATTCTGAGTCCCTTGTGGCCCCTGTTCTCCTCCCTGCAACAGCAGCATAAAAACTGCAGGTCTTTATTTTAGTACAGAGTAATCTGTTGTTTCTACAAGTTACTGAACTAGCTTGACCTTGACATACCAGTGTTATGCATCCATGGTCTTAAAAGTATTTGTGGAAATAAAAAGAGAAATAATAGTTCCAAAAGTATCCTAGAATTTCTAGGCAAATATATGCAGAAAGGAAAAAAGAAACCTCTGCAAATGCTCTAGATTGAACTGATGGTTCTTCTAACACTGATGTTTTAAAGATTTCTCAAAAAAATCAGAGTTAGCAGACAAGGACAGTGTGCTAGTTTGGTACCAGACAAGTCTACCAATAAGCAAGCTGAAGACACAGTGGATTTATATGGGTTGACAGGTACGGTGACGGAAATTGCCAGCTGCCCATCACAGGACTGTCAAGCCTTAACGAGCTGAAATGCTTGAGGAACATGATGCTCTGGAGAATGGAACTTTTTGCTAAACTGGGCAAATCCTTGCTCCTTTAAATATTATTGCTGATAATCTTCTAAGAATACATGAGCTCATTTTCATTTTGCTCCATAGAAAGCAGACTGAACGTACATGAATAACTTGTTTAATACTTGTGCATTTATTCAAGATATGCTGTGTGTCAGGCGCCAGGCTGGTCAGGTACTGAGGATCAAACACAACAGGATGGTCTGGAGTTTACTAGAACCAACTGGACAGAGCAGCATTAGACTGAGAATGTCAGCTTCACAAAGAAGTGGAACTGGAGGCAGGTTACTGGGCTAAATGATGCACACTAATTGTGCCCACTGTACTTAAAGACACACATATCTAAGGAATGAACTCTGTCATCATCCTTAACCAGGGAGGGTGAGGCAGAAGATGTCCATCTCCTGAAAAGGGTCAGACTGATTTAACATTTGAGCCCCACATGTATCAGCTATACATATGTCATTTCCCTCCATGAAAAGCTGATTTCCAGAGAAACTGCTGCTGGGCTAGCTTGAGCCTAAAACTTAATCCTGCAGACACACTCTCTTCCATATTAACACATTCACACACACACATGAACCTGCCCATGACGGAATTCTTTTGTTTTCTTGTGAGTCACTTCATTCGTGGGGGGGAAAACCCTATAAAATTTTTTCAATAGATGAGTCTTTTCTATCTGACCATATTTTTTACGTCTAATTGAAACTCTTGGCACTGAGAGGAAACATATTCATGTTCAGAGAAAAAATGAGATGATTCAGAAGGTGTGTGTTCTGACTGTGAAACAGAGTCAAAGCTTTCTTATCTCTCCTCTATGGTTTTAAGCTCCCCCATGTCTCTGTGACGGACCACACTCATGTCTGCTCCTTATTTGGGTTCAATGTGCTGCTGTATGTTTGACACTGAGTTGGGTCGTGGGAGGGGATGCTGGTCTTTGCCACCCCAGCCTGTGCTCTAACTAGAGGTGTAAGTAGCAAATTAGAAATGATCCCTTAACTTATTACAGTGAAGCTTTGGATGTCCTCTCCAGAGTCAAAGGGAAAAGCAGATTTGCAAAGTCTGAACGTCTATGACAGCCTGTGAGAGCGCTAGACTAGACTAGACACTGCCCCAGGTCTGGCGTTGCCACTTGCTAGCTGTGTGACTTTGCCAGAGTGGCTTTAACCTTGAACTTCCAGCTGTCTCATCTACTAAATGGACGTAACATGGCCTGCTCTGCCTGCTCTGTTGGCAGATAGAAAAGATGATATATGTGATAGTGGTCATGTTTAAACACTGCAAAGAAGCTATTCAAATGGACTAGGAAGGAGAATGTTATTTTCACAAAACTGACCCCAGTCGCTTATGTTCCTTGACGCCCAGGCCTGTCCCTCCTTGGACTTTCAACACAGAAGGGTCTGAAGGACAACGGATGTGATGTTCTCTCAAACTGTCAAAGCTACAAGATCAGGAGTTGCTGGATGGAACACACAGACCACCACGGGGTACACGGCGTGACAGCAGGGCACAGCTTTGTCATCACAGCCCAGGGGGAAACACACATGCCTACCTTCTTGCCTTCTCCGTATATTAGGGGAAATTTCAAGTCATCATCCTCAATGGTTTTGTATGCCCTGTAGGGGGATAAACAACATTTTTTTTAAAAAAGGTGTGCACTCAATTAGTGACCCGCTGCCCTGACACAGGCTGCTAGGCACGCTATTTCCCTGAGCGTCCATCCACTCACCACTGCCAATCTTTCTTCACAGAGAGTTATTCTCCCTACATGACTGTGTGTATGTGTATAAGCAAATCAGAAAACACCAAATATATACAAGCTCAAAGAGGAGAGACTATGTTGGCACGTTTGTAATTAGCAAAGAGGGGAGAGGGGCCCCCTTCCTAAGCACTCGGTGTCTGTGCAGTAATGAAGAGTCCCGGCAGCAGGGACTGGGTTCTCATTATTAATCCCAAACTGTGAGAAGCAGCAAAGCTCCGAGATGGATGGAGTGTGAAACCGCTCCAGGAGCCAGTTCGCACCTAGAGGGGCTGTTTACACCACAGCGAGCCTCGGCCTGGCAGTGCTGGAGAAGGGATATTTAGAGCCTGTTTGACCTCAGTATGATTGTCAAGGTTGGCAGAAAAGTCTTTGTTTCATAATAGCTTTTAAATGGCCATTTGACACACAGAAAGAAAATTCAGTTTATGCTTCAATGGCTTATTCTCGACATGGTTGTCCAGATGTCACAGTGTGCACAGCTGAGGCTGGCAAGGTTAAGGGGACAAAAGCAAATGTCTTGCAGTTTTGTTCATGAGGAAGTTAAAAACAAACAAACAAACAAACAAACAAACAAGCAAGCAAGCAAGCAAGGCATATTTATCACTAGTGGTATCACTTTGGGCTTCAGCTTTCTTGATTTTCACTTCATCATCTATAAAACAAGATGTAAAGAGCTTCATATAGAGACTAGCACTTATTAGTAACAGAACCAGTAACAATCAGTACCAGAAGCCAGAATCTTTCCAATCACCTGCAACATATTTGAGAGCTGGATAGTGAATAAGGATGACAGGAGAACTGATGCATTTGAGTAGTGGTGGTGGACAAGATTGCTGAATATCTCATGGATTTATAAAAGAACAAACAAGTATGTCTCAGAGAAAGTACAGCTGGAGTGTTGTCTGGAGGCCAAGATGGTGATGCTTCATCTCATATATTTTGGACATGTTGTTAGGAACAGCTGTTTCTTGAAAAGAGACATCATGCTTGGAAAGGTGGAGGGTAAGTGAAAGGGCGAAAGGACCTCAACTAGATGTACTGATACAGTATGTGCAGCAAGCGGGATGATCCAGGACGGGACTGAGTTGACATGTATTGTTCATAGGGTCCAGGGAGTTGTTCTTGACTTGACCTTGACAGCACTTAAAACAACTGCTAGAGCTTAGTAGGTAATTAATACTTGGGTTTGTCAGTGCCCCTTCTGGGGATAGCAACGGCTGGTCACCATACTGCTCATCTTTGTTTTTTCTACAGAAAATGAAGAATTATTTTCCTTACAGAATTGTATCTGTTTAAGAAAATCACAAAACACCAAATCTTTATATGCTTGAAGAGGGGGAGATTATGGTGGGATGTTCATATAGGGGAAATGAGTTTCTTCCCAAGCATTTTGATTCCATGCAAAAATGAAGTGGCATTACAATAGCTGAAGTATTCGGTATTAGGGAGACAAAAGAGAAGTCAGGGTAAGCTGTGCTGGGTTAGGTGTTAGAAGTGAATACGATGTTTTCTAAACTAATATGACCACCTACACAACGTGAGAGTAAACAGGCAATCAGACATATGGACATACAAAAGAATGTAACCCAGCTTAAAACGAGTTCAATTCCAACGTTAAAGAGGTCACATCCTTATCTGCCAGGGTGTTATTTGGACAAATTGTTCCATCCCAGCGTCTCTTGAATAAGTCCCAGTCTAGCACCAGCTGTGCCTGGGCTGGACTTGAATTTAGCACTGCTATCTGCATGACCCTGGGCAAGCAGATGAGCTTGTTGGGACCCCAGGGTCCTCGTTAATCTTTAGGGCAAAACGGATGCTTTCATGGGTTTGTTGTGAGAATGAAAAAGGTCTAATAAATGTGAAATGCTTGGTGAGTATTCAGCACAGTGCCTGGCACAGCTGAGGGCTCAATACACACTAGTTGCTGCTGCTGCTATTAAATGGAGCCTCGAGGTATTCTAGGAATAAAACTTTCTAAAAGAGTAATTTTCCTTTTTATTTCCTTACCCTAAATCTACAAAATTAACATAAAGTGCATATAGCCACTTTGGTGTTTTTATACTTACATGAGCTTTTTTTAAACACTGGTAGACAGTTGGGGATCAAAGCTAGGATTAGAACCCCAGCTGTCGAGTTTAAAACTAAGCTTACTCAAAGAATCTGATCTTTGTCCTTGGTTTCTGAGTGAGAACCTCTAAAAGGCTGACATTTCGAGTAATTGAAATGCCTGGGATAAAGCCTGCAGGTTACACCTGATTCAAATGGGGGCTGGTTTGGGCAGGAGGATCACTTCATAACACTTGGCCTCTAAAGAGGAGGCCTGATCCAAATGACTAAGTAACAGCCCAGTAAAGACTCTGCACACGAAGGCTCTATGAGCTTCCTGGTTGGTGAAAGAGACTGACGTATGGGAGGGCAGTGTAACACTTTCTAAGGAAGCTCCATGTTGGGACCCCTCCCAGACCTTGCTCTATGCATCTCTTCCTTTGTATCCTTTTTGCTTTAATGAAACTCTAATCATAAGTATAGGAACAAGCAGGTCAGAAGTGAAGGAGGGCCAGAGATCTTTTAGCTTAAAGCTGTTACTTTAAGGGGACAAAAGGAACCACCCTGAATTTATGGATAAGATGTAAGAAAAGATGCAGCTGGCATTTGAGGTCTTGAGCAGACTTGCCAGTTTAGAAGACTGTGCCCTTCAACTTGTGAAGTCTGACGTAGCTCTGGGAGGTTAAAGCGAGAGTTAACACTGGCAAATGGATTAATGTTTATGGTAGACATTAATTATTATTACTCTAAAAGGAATGGTAACTATTAATAATTCCAGTCCACATCTACAATCTACTAAATACCGTGTATATACCAGACACTGGATTTGCTGCATACCCATAGTGTCTAAATGCTACATCTTCCACACAAGGAAAATGAGCCTCAGGGAGGCAAAATTTCTTTCATGAGATAAAAGACTATATTAGTAGTCTTGATACTGGAGTCAGACTTTCCCAGAAAATGCACAAAAAAAATGCGATGTTAGGGCACAGATTGGAGAATTCTCATTTCTATTAGAAGAGTCTGAAATTAGACCATTATTGTCTCATTGGGCAAAACATAAAAATTTGATGGGGGGGGAAAAGGAGACTTCTAGTGGAAGATAATTTTCTATGTGAGTGAAAAACTGAAGACATAAGGGAGATGCCCATGTTGGAATAAACCCTGTGTTTGTTTCAGTGTAGTCTACAGAGAAGACGGATAAAGTATCAGAGGACCCCACAGCGCTGTATTAGATCTGGCACTGCTTCCTAGATCATTTGCCTGTGGTCACGCAGTCCAACAAAACCCTGAGAAGCAGGCCTCCCTCAAACCTATCCTCACAGTTTAAGAGAGCCATCTTAGCAGATTTTCAAGGCACATCTGTTGTTCTTATTAGGCTGCAAGTTTGAAGCTATTATCCTTGGCTTCATCATTCTTGGCTCAGGGAGTTAAGAAGATAAATTTGAAGAATGAGAGCTCTGAGACACGGAAGTATATGAGATCTGAGATCACAAGAGAATGATTAGTCATAGGAAAAACTCCCTCAGCCCAGGTCCAATGACTTTCGAAACTCTGGTTGATTTAAAAACACAAAGGCATCCAAAAGAATTCTTTGCTAGTTTTATAAGAATACAACCTACAAGAGTAGAGAGTCAAACATCATCAAAAGAAAACTAAAACTGAAAGGTTCTGGAAAGATTTTTAAAATAGCTCTTATTTTAGGTCAATTATTTTATGAATATTTACAAGGGCAGTTGACAAAAAGATGAGAAAAAGATTGCAAATGTTATATTCTTAACTTCCCCTCATTCAGTCATTATTTTCAAAAGTTCTCATTTTTTTTTTTACGTAATAATTTCCTTAGTAATGTTGGTTCTGCAAGGCTGAAGAACACGAAGACACCAGTTTGGACTTTAGAAAGAGAAGCTCAGCACGGGAAGAGGTTGAAGTGACGCAGTCAGCTGCACCCCAAATACAGGATTCCTTCCTAGACCATGCCTTATATTATCTCTAAGTCACCGCTGAAAAGATTCCTATACACAGTTAATGTCCTAAGAGCTTTATAATATTTAAGGTCAGCTCATTCCACTGAAGTACAATTCTGGGAAATTCTTTCTTAAATGAATCCACCCATTCACCCATTAGCGTGCTTGGTCTATTCTTCGGGGAAAATATGAAATAAATCTAGTCTGTCTTCTGTTTGAGAGCTCTGCAAATATTTGACAACTGCTAACTCAAAGTTATCCCTAGTTTCTTTTATTATTATTTATAGGGCCTGGGGGACTTTCTCTAACCACTTAAATGACTGTTCATGACCTTCAGGATAGCCTTGCAGTAGGGATTACACTTCAGGACATTTTTTCCTATGTTCACAAATAGCTGTCTCACTCTTTTATTTTTTTTTAAATGATTATTAAATTTTATTAGTTTTAATGCTCACTCTTTATTTTACTGGTATTTTCATTAATTTTACAATCTTGTGATGCTCCTGGAATTGACTTTCTAACTTATACCCGTTTTCCTGGTGACTGTCTCTGTTTACGAGATGCAGCACGCTCACGCAAGCTGAGCTGTGAACATCCCACCTCTAATGCTGCACCTTGGAATCATTTCTCCACTCACTGCCTTGCCGTGGTTCACAGGCCAGCTCCTCCCCAGGGTCTATTTTCTCCTCATTCAGTCTTTCACTTGTGGTAAATCTTTTAAATATTTTCCTTGGTAACCAACTAGAATTTTTCACTATTTTGATCTTCTGGCTTGTGCCAATACTGACTGGAAGAGATCCACATTTGTGTTCATTTCAAAGAGAAGTGATACAACAGAATG